ATCTTGAAAGGCACGATTTGGGAAAAGGTCCTGGGCGACACTATTTGAGAAATGCAAAGCACTTTTCCCCCTTGGCAACACCTTTTCCCCACCCCCTCCCCCTCCCCCCTCCCTCCAGGGTTGTTTTGTTTTGTCTTGTTTCTGTTCCAACTTTTGGATTCTTTGGGTGCTCACCCAAAAATTAAATAAAAACTGTTAGCAAATTCCCAAATGTACCTACACCCCTCTTTCAAAAACAGGCTCTGGGCCTACTTCTGCCAAGTGTTGGAACAAAGTATAATGTGTTTGGAGACTACAATCCCACAGGATCCCAGGAACTTCAGATAAATTATTCAAAGTCTCCAGGGATTGGCAAACAAGAGAGATAAAAGGCCCACACTGAGAGTGTGGGAAAGGGGAAGGAAAAAGCAGAGGCTGAGACCGAAGGTCAGGCATTCCAGAAGAGACTGTTTTCACAGGTTTTAGGTGTTTGGGGATGGGGAGGTTAGGTAAGAAAGTGACAATTAACCGCCCATACAAGGGGAGCTAATTGGTCGTTAATCGAGGCCTGGCAGCTCAGCTCTTCTAAAAGCAGCTACACGCACCATACCCTTCAGCCAATCATCACACGATACTGCTGGGCATTCACTGCCCAGAGAGCCATCCAAAGATAAAGTCTTGTCCTTTGCCTACTGCCTTTCAACTGCCTGTTGTGTCAGGAAATTGCACATTTATTATATGTTTAATTACATATTTGTGGGGAAAAATCTAAGGAACCAATAGGCTAAGTAAATGATGATACTTCGTTTGTTTCTCCTCTTAAAGGTAAACACACACACACACACACACACACACACACACACACACACACACGAACCCAACCCTCAAATGGAATATCATTTGAATGTCTTTTGTGTGATGCAAAGCAAGTTTGTGTACTAGTGCACAAATGAGTTGCAACTTTGTCTTTAAATAAAAAGGTCTGCAGGGTACAAGAAGGCCCTACATGCAGCTTCTTGCCCTGACTTGACTCAGGCCTGGCTTGTTTGGCAGGTCTCCATAAACCAATTGCTCTGAATTGAAACTGTCAGAAGAAAATAAAATGGGCTAAATTTATCATCACCTGTACCCACTGACACACACACACGGAGGTGCATTGCTAACTAAGACACAAACCAAAACGCAGCAGCCTGGTCAAACAGCCTCCTGGGAAATGCCGTTTGGTGATATGAGCCTTTTTCTTCTTCTTCTTTTTAACATCGAGAAGGAAAACAACACATGCAGGAAACCATAAAACCCTTCAAGTTAACTGTAGCTAACGGCCACTCTCATTAGGATGCAATGGGTAGGTGGTAGCCCTCCCTAGAAAGACTGAATGTGCTCCTCTGATTAATTTCAAATTTTCTCATGTGCTGGGATCTCTGACTCTTGAACAAGCAGAGGTTCCACTCACTTCCAAAACTAGTGCCTGAGTCCACCTCTTATATTAGAATACATATGTATATGTATATTTGCACATTTCAACCAAGTTATAATCACTTATACATAAGGGGATCCTTGGGAAATTGATAGGAAGTGGGAGGGCTGACGGAAGTGAGGACTGGCAATCCTGGCCTATGGGCCTAAGGCTTTGCTTAAATCAGTCTCTCTTTGGGAAGTGAAGACATCTATTTTTGCAAATCCCTACTAGGGCTCAACAGAATGGGCCCCAGTGCCTTTTCTCTCATGTCTGACCTTGTGACCTCAGAGCAGTGACTGAACTGGGCAGCGGCAGTGGGCAGTGATTCTCTCCCTTCAGCGAGCATTGGAAATACATGGGGAAGAGCTTTTTAGGGCCCCGCCCCCAGAGTCTGAGTCTTTATAATCTTTGCTGCTAACAAGAATCTCTAGGTAACCGATGCAAGAGCTCACGTTCCAGACTGGGAGCCACAGATTCCAGGGACTTATTGTTCAGAACTGAGTAGCTTCTATGTTGCTTCCACTCTGCCAGGCTTGTACACGTGTATTACCTTTTTGCAACAATCTGTGAGGTAAGGAACCAGAATTTCAAGAGCCCATACAGTAGGCCAGGTATTCTCCATATGTGAGTCTCACTACAGCTTTACATGTTAGAAAGCATTCTTTCCATTTAACATTTTAGAACACGGAGGCTTAAAGAGGCTAAGAAATTTTACCAACTTCCTTCACAGCTAGATGGCCTAGGAGACACTTTCCAACTAGGAAAGATAATACCACAGCTAAGATAACACAGGCAGCATAATATGCAAAAGTTATTTTGGAAGCTCTTAAGGTGCCTTTGAAACAATAAAGTCAACAAATAAGAACTGAACATTCATTATATGCAAGGCAAATTTGGGGAAATAAGATATTTAAGGCGTAGTTCCTGTCCTCTTAACAATTCTAGTCTCATGAGAGAGACCAGCTTGGCTATATTAGAATTTGGAGAGCTGTGTGCAGGGCTTTAAATGGCAGGCAGCATGTGAATTTTGTGCAAAGGGGAATTTAGTAGATTTTTAGCAGTCTGACTCTATCCAGATGCCTGGAGATGCTTCTCTCCCCGCCCAGAACCTCTCCACTTTAGCTTTCAAATGATAGCCAGAGTAGAGATCCAGAAATGTATATGGAGATAATTTTTCAGAGTGAATTAGAGGGGTAGGGGTCAACAAACATTAATATGGGTTCGGAAAGTATTGTGTAGGCCTTAAAGGAGAAAAAAAGGGCCTACTGTTAATGCCACCACAGAAAAACCATGAATAACAACATTCACCTTAAGTCGTCCAAATGGATAAAATAGATTTGAATTCCTAGCAGATTCTTAATTTTATTTATTTTTTAAAAAAATCTAGATCTTTCCAAATGCCTCCTTGGGAGCCTTAAATTATTTTAAATTTATGATTAAACATTCTGACCCATAGCATTACCCAAACTGTGTTTTCTAATTCATGAGCACTCTATAAACACAGGAAATACAGTACTCACAAATGTTGATGTCCACTTCCCAGCCCCTTGCTTTCTCATTTTCTTCAGAACCCTTTCAGGCCTCTAGTACCCCACCCCCACAGGGAGCACAAATCAAGGAAGCCCTCCACATCCGCTTACATGCTCTATTTTTTTGCTTGGCACTTAAAGATATTCAATTAGGAATTGACAAACCTTGCGTAAGCAACTATTACTGACTCGCATTTCTGACGGTGCCCAGGGCCAGAAGCAATGTCCTTAAAGGGAAAACGGGTTGATATTCTTAAGATAATCTCAAATTTGTTCTTTTCTATTGATCCAAATTACCTGAAAGAAAAAGTCATACTAAACTGTTTGGTTTCTCAGGTTTATTATGCCTTGTACCACCTAACACGTGAGTATCACTTAAGAATGAAAATTGATTCAGAGGAAGAAAAGTACAAAAATGTTTCTTACATTTACTCTGTCACCTCCTAGGACAGACACGCACATTTAAGCATTTATTTTTAAAGCAACATTATCAAAATCATTAAAGAAAATATTTAAAGCATCCACCCTTACATGGAAAGTCAATGGGAAAAAACAAACATAGTTCTTGCAAGAGAACCTTACAAAATAAAATATACTTCATATAGGCTTAATTTATGTCAAGGTTTTTATACCTAGATCTGAAAAAGCTAAACAATCTTACTATCAGTACAATGAACAAAATTAAATTGAAGCACTTTATAGAAGAGTTCTTTCTCCTTTTGCAAAGATCTTTGAAGAGATTTAAGACACCATGTTGTTTTAAGGTCTTTGAAAAACAGCAAGATACTACAATTGCAGAACACAAATACAATTAAAACGAAATATATTAGCAAATAGGCAAAAGAAAAATTTGGAAACTAGTAGCTGTAATGATCTTTAAAAGGTGAAATTATATTGAACCATGACAATTCTATTATTTTGGAGGGGGTTATTATTGCTTTTCTTTGAAAAAAAAAAAAACCCAAAAAAACCAATTGCTTATTTTGGACCACATGCTCCAAAAATGTCTTCTAGCTGGGCAGCCAGGATACACACTCCCTTACCTATACACAGTCCCGGATGACTAAAGGCTTATTTCCAAAGACTCCTTTTTAACCCCTCCTCTCCAGTGCTGAAAAATTATAAGAAATATAAAGCACACGTTTTTAATTAACAAGCATTTGGAAAATGAAAAGGGGTTTTGTGAATGGCAATTGTTAACCCCCAAAATAAATAATAGTGCTACTTAGTAAGTTGCAGGTTCCAAACCAAATACTAATGAGCCTCAGGAAATCCAAGGCATGCATATCTCAATAATACTGGTGGGCCTGAGGCTTCTAAGAAGTGTAAATCTCCACTAGCTCAGTGTGTGCTGCACAGATTCGGAGGGGGAGAGCTCTCCTCCTTGCCCTCAGGGAGCCAGCTTCTCCTGGGTCATCCTTATTGTTGCATTTCACCTACATTAATAACCATGTTGGGCATGGCACAAAAATGGAGACTTTAGCACCACAAGATCCTTCCTGCTTTTGAGGAAAAAATAAATTATTCAACTTTCACATTTCTTAATTGGTAATAGCTTTCTCCTCTAATTTAACAGGCTTATTTGTTCTAAATCTGTGGCAAATAATTCTAGCCCTGCTAAGTGGTGACCATGGGCAAGTCAAGGAGAAAGCAGCTTTAGGAATATAGAAGTTAAAGAAAAGATCAGCCAGCCAGCTTTATCTTCAAAGAATTGTCCACGTTGCCCCTCCCCCCACCCCTTTAAAAATTTCAAGACAAAGGGCGACTTTAAAAAATGTGGTAAACTCAGAAAATTCCTAGAAAGCGTGTAGAAGAGTTGACACATATTCAGCCGATGCCATCATTTCAGGGTCAA